ACCGGAACCTCCCCCTGCCTACGCCGATGTTCCCAGTATTGAGGTCGGCACCGGTCCCATGCCCCAGAACCCCACCCCGGCCCCACGCAGTACCTCTCCCGCTCCCTCGCACACTTCTCAGGTCTCCCTGACCAGCGTCACCAACGAAGAGGACCCGTATGCTTTCCTAGCTCAATTTGATACGGTTTTCGTTATTGACGACTCCGGCTCTATGGCTGGTCGCTCATGGCGCGAGGTTAAAGATGCTCTGCGTGCCATCACCCCAATCTGCACGGCCCACGACGCCGACGGGATCGACCTCTTCTTCCTCAACCACAAATCCGCCCAGCCCGCTGCCAAGGGCTCTGCTGCCGGCGGCTTTCGTGGGATCAACGACGCGGCGAGAGTCGAAAACATTTTCGCCACCGTTCGCCCTTCTGGTGGCACACCTACTGGCACTCGCCTCCACGCCATTCTGAAGCCCTACCTCGCTCTCTGCGTCGCCAACGAGGCCGACATTGAGTCCGTCAAGCCCATTAACATCATCGTCATCACCGATGGCGTGCCTTCTGATGATGTCGAGACGGTCCTCATCAACGCTGCCAAGAAGCTTGACAAGATTGATGCACCTCCGTACCAGGTTGGGATCCAGTTCTTCCAGGTCGGAAACGAAGAGGGCGCGCGCGAGGCCTTGAAGGAGCTCGACGATGGCTTGGCTGAGCTCGTTGATGGTGGTGTCAGAGACATGGTCGATACCGTAACGTGGAACAAGGGCGGCGACAACACGCTATCAGCCAGCAACATATTGAAGGTAGTGCTGGGTGCCGTTGTCAAGAGGCTCGACAGACGGAGGGCCAGCGGCGAGAGCCGCCGATCTGCGCGGCATCTCGCTCCATAATCGGGCACCGTTCGGTGTTTCTACTCAGATGCGCGATTCTCACAGGTGTTTCGGCGTTTTAGTCTCCTCAGGAGAGCTCGTAGCCAGGACGCGAGATACCCAGGATTCCTCGCATGAATTTCAGTGCTTCCGGATGTTTTCTAGAACGGGGTTTTGTTCATCTCTGATAGGGGTCGATAATACTTAAGCTCCTGCTGACCTTTGAAAACATGACCACTTTGCGCCAGTATTTATCTAAACCAACTTCACATTTACGTTGCCTTCATGCGATGATGGCCTACCAGCATAAGTTTCCATACCTCACCTATTTTTTCTTGTTTGAGCAAAAGGATGAATGGCGAATGGTAGGGCAGAGTCTAGGCCGTAACGATATGCTTGTCGCCTGCAGCGCGTCAAGCAGAGGGGCTCATATGTCGAGTTGCACAGCTCATCACGTGCAACACTGGATCTGCTACCGATTTATTCTGTGGTTTTCTAATGTTCGTAACGAAACGCCCATAGAGGCCAAGCCTTCCTCAGTCAGCCGACATCCACCTAGGACCAGTTGACCAAGTGAAACACGTATCTTCCAGCTGGTCTCTCGGCCTCCATGGCAGAGCACGGCAGCCCCTCGCCAGTTGCCGCAGTCAAAACGCGCCGCAGCAGACAGCGTAGCAGAGGCGAAAAAAGTCCGGTCCCTTCCCTGAAATATGTAGACAAAACCGCAAAAAACCGTCGCTTGAAGAAACAAGCCAGACGAAACCAAATTGTCAAGGTCATGTTTAGCTCGTGATGTGCCGTCGAAGCGCTCGACCACATTCCGCCTTGCCACATCAAGTCTGGCGAAAGGAAGCCGGGCCGGATCCAAAGTGTGACGAGTGTGGAGTCTTCCAGGGACTTGTTCCAGGGACCTTGATGCAAAACGATAAACGAGAAACCGAAGCTGCCGAATAAAAAGAAAGAAAAGAAAAATAGGATGTGCTCGTTTGCCGTCCGTGGGCTTCGATGGCTATGCTGCCCGAGGGTTAGTCATCAATGACGACGGCATCATGTAACGCTCATGAAGTAGCCGTCGGAAGGAAGACAGAGAGCAGGAAACGATGCGGCGTGGGTATCTTCGTACAATGTCATGATAATCATAAAGCATGAGCGGCGACAAGAAGCCGGCCCGAAGACCAAACTCGCCGCTACTGCGAGGCGAGGATCCATGGCATCGGAGTAACCATGTCGAAGAGGGCAGGCACGGGTCCCTCACCGAAGAGGAAGTGCAAAACGTGTGCCAGGGTTCGATGCACCGGCATCACCCTGCGAAAGGCCACAAAAGCACAGCAAGAAAGACCATGCAATGTCGATCGGAAGCAGGAGCAGCATCTGCGTCACTTCATGAGCAGAACCTCGGCGAGGTTGGTGACGTGGACGGACAGGGTGCTGCCGTTGTCGTTGCGCACGGTGATGACGGGCGTGACGACAAGCTGGACGCGCCAGTGCTCCGCCTGCAGGACGTAGCCGTCAATGCTGGGGGCGACGGCGACCATGCTCTGCATGGAGAAGCGGCAGCCGGCCTCGGGGAAGCGGTACTCAAAAGTCATGCGCGAGGTGAGCGTCTTGGCCGAGAGGGACCATGCCTTGCCAACGACCGAGCGCAGGTCGTTGCCCGCTTGTTCAAGGTCGGCGAACTCGTTCATGAGCGGGCCGAGCATGCTCTGGAGCTCCGTGGCGAAGTACTCGATGCGGCTCTCGCGGTACTGCTCGTAGCGCTCGTTGTCGAGAATCGAGTGACGATTTCACTGACGGCACTGTTGTACTCGTTGCGGGCGGAGCCGGTCATCACTAGAGCATAGTAAAAGTGAGCGCAGATGCATGTAC